TTTATTATTAATTAATCTTATTATTTCATATTTTTTCCTCATTTTTTCCTTCTAATAAACTATTTAATGATATATTTTTTCTTCAATATTTAAAAAGTTGCAATTAAATTGTTGATATGGGTGCATCAGGCTTAGGTTCTGGTTTAGCAAATTGCATTAATCTCTCAAATTTGACACTTAACCTTGAGTAAAAACAGTTTATTTGTTTTGGATTGTGATATTTTTAATTATAAAAACTAATTAAAAACAATAAAGCTCTTTTTTCTTTTTCTTTTTCTTTTTATTGTGCTTGCTTTTTTTTGTTCTTTCTTTGTAAATTTAGCTCATCATTTTATTTTCTACTTTTGCTTTTATTATTAATTAATCTTATTATTTCATATTTTTTCCTCATTTTTTCCTTCTAATAAACTATTTAATGATATATTTTTTCTTCAATATTTAAAAAGTTTCAATTAAATTGGTGATGAAGGTGCATCAGGCTTAGGTTCTGGTTTAGCAAATTGCATTAATCTCTCTAATTTGACACTTGATCTTAAGTAAAAACAGTTTATTTGTTTTGGATTGTGATATTTTTAATTATAAAAACTAATTAAAAACAATAAAGCTCTTTTTTCTTTTTCTTTTTCTTTTTATTGTGCTTGCTTTTTTTTGTTCTTTCTTTGTTAATTAAGCTCATCATTTTATTTTCTACTTTTGCTTTTATTATTAATTAATCTTATTATTTCATATTTTTTCCTCATTTTTTCCTTCTAATAAACTATTTAATGATATAATATTTAAAAAGTGAAAATTAAATTGGTGATGAAGGTGCATCAGGCTTAGGTTCTGGTTTAGCAAATTGCATTAATCTCTCAAATTTGACACTTAACCTTGAGTAAAAACATTTTATTTGTTTTGGATTGTGATATTTTTAATTATAAAAACTAATTAAAAACAATAAAGCTCTTTTTTCTTTTTCTTTTTCTTTTTATTGTGCTTGCTTTTTTTTGTTCTTTCTTTGTTAATTAAGCTCATCATTTTATTTTCTACTTTTGCTTTTATTATTAATTAATCTTATTATTTCATATTTTTTCCTCATTTTTTCCTTCTAATAAACTATTTAATCATATATTTTTTCTTCAATATTTAAAAAGAAGGAATAAAATTGGTGATAAAGGTGCATCAGGCTTAGGTTCTGGTTTAGCAAATTGCATTAATCTCTCAAATTTGACACTTAACCTTTAGTAAAAACAGTTTATTTGTTTTGGATTGTGATATTTTTAATTATAAAAACTAATTAAAAACAATAAAGCTCTTTTTTCTTTTTCTTTTTCTTTTTATTGTGCTTGCTTTTTTTTGTTCTTTCTTTGTTAATTAAGCTCATCATTTTATTTTCTACTTTTGCTTTTATTATTAATTAATCTTATTATTTCATATTTTTTCCTCATTTTTTCCTTCTAATAAACTATTTAATCATATATTTTTTCTTCAATATTTAAAAAGAAAGAATAAAATTGGTGATGAAGGTGCATCAGGCTTAGGTTCTGGTTTAGCAAATTGCATTAATCTCTCAAATTGACACTTAACCTTGAGTAAA